GAAAATGAAAGAAGACTCAAGTACAGTGTCTTTAAGGATCCTTTTGTCAGCTGGCTCCACACACTGACCTGAAAGTACAGTTTGCAGACAACACGTGGTCCTCAGCTGTCCCCTCATGTGACCTCTCACGGGTTTTGACTTTGTTTTATCCTTTAGATTGGCTCTGGACTAACCCTTAGGAATCTTGGCACAGCACAGACATTTATACATACACACCTCTCCTCAGTGAGTGGTTAGTGGTGGGTTTCTGTTTGAACAGCTTGTACTTATGGTTGAATTTAAAAAAAAAAAAGATATGGAATATGAACAAAAATATCACAAATCTATTACCTTGTAAGTTAATATACACTGTTTCTTAATGTAAAAAACTTGGAGATCGGGCTGGGCGGTGGTTGGGCATGCCTTTAATCCCAGCACTTTGGAGGATCGCTTGAGTTTGAGGCCAACCTGGTCTACAGCAAGAGATCCAGGGCAGGCACCAAAACCACAGAGAAAAACCCTGTCTCAAACAAAAAACAAAAACAAAAAACCTTGGAAATGAGCACACAGAACAATTACCATGTGAAAGTTGCTAATGAGCGCACGATGGGAACTTTCTCTAGGGAAGATGAGTGACCTAATCTGTCTTCAGTGTGTCTAAAATTAGACTCTCTTACTTCCCAGATGGAGCAGCTACAGCAGCGCATGAACGCTCCATATGTCCCACAGTGTGAGTCTCTGCAAAAAGATTTTCTAAATCTTGTGAGTCGTTTAATCAAAAATACCTACTTCCCCAGTGGTATTTAAGACTAGAAGAGACAGTTTTCTGAGTATAGCTCCGTTTCTCTGAACATTCAATGCTTGGTTCAGGTCTGCTTTACCTGACACTACTACTCAGCACATCTCTCCCTGTGGCTAACAGTGGCTGCGTCCTAGGATGCTATTTCAGCCACCTAAATGTCAACACTGGTGCTTTTGACATATCACCAAATACTTTTTTGTTTTGTTTTTGTTTCTGTAGTTTTGGTGCCTGTCCTAGATCTCACTCTGTAGCCCCGGCTGGCCTCAAACTCGCAGAGATCTGCCTAGCTCTGCCTCCCGAGTGCTGGGATTAAAGGCATCCGCCCGGCTTCAGTCACCAAATACTTTTAATTCTTCCCAAACATCACACCTTTCTTACTCTGATCCAGGTCACTCTGATCCAGGTCCCGTCTCAGCTCCCTGTCTGATCCAGCTACTACCAGATGACTTGTCTTAAGTGCGACTTGAACCATGTCTCTGCTCAGTGGCCTCCATCAGTCTCTAATCCACACTAATACATCTGCCTATATGGTCCTAGAATGGAATATGTGCGCAGAGTCAGCCACCACCTACCACCACCTCCCTGGCCATACCTTTGATGTATACTCTGCTGAACATATGGCTGTCATGCAAATGGCTACATCTCAAAACATCACCTCCCCAGCAAAGCCCTGCTTTTCTTCATGGCTGAAGCTAAGTTCTCCCACAAGGAGGCTTCTTTTATTTATTACATATACAGTGCTCTGTCTGTGTGTATGCCTGTATGCTAGAAGAGGGCACCAGATCTCATTACAGATGGTTGTGAGTCCCCGTGTGGTTGCTGGGAATTGAACTCAGGACCTCTGGAAGAACAGCCAGTGCTCTTAACCTCTGAGCCATCTCTCCAGCCCCTCACAGGAGGCTTCTTCATGGCAGCCTTTGCCCTCTGAACTCCACAGTCCCCATACTCATTTTTAGGGCCCTTGTCCCCTGCCCTCCTTTCCCCCAGCAAGCATCTAGGGTAGGGAATCAGTGCAAGTTCGGACCCCACAGCCCGGTCCTCACTGCTGTGGCGTTCTGTCTAAAATGGCCTGTGTAACTGTTGGGGTAACTTCATCTGCAGATTGGGAGGGGGGTGGGAAAGGTAGCAGGCGATAAAAAGGTCTGACTTTAAATCTCTAGGGCACCCAACTTTTTGAAATATTTGTGGTATAATTCTTCCTGCTCTTGCTTTGTGACTTTTCTCTTTTTGTATTAATGTGATCTTCTTGTGGGTAGATGTTTTCGTCCTCCATCAGCTGATGCCTCCTGGGAAGGAACGGAGGGTATGAAAAATCGCATGGCAGGCAGGCCACTTACAGTCTTACTGAATTTCACTTTCTACCCTTGCCTTCTTTTATACTGGTTTTTGCTCAGATTGAAACATTATTTTTCAGTAAAATTGATAATTCTATAGTGGCTTTGAAACTTACCAAAATGTTTTAATCTTTGTAATTCTACAAATTGAAAACCTGTGTTTGTAGTAGAATTTTCAGAAAAAGAAAAACCTCTTTGGCTCAGTAATAAATAGTAAAGTGGGCTCAAGAATAAAGGAAGTTTCTTTTTAGTCAGTATGAGTATGATGTGTAGACAGAGTGTGCCACAGCACATGCGTGGACATCAGAGGACAACGCTGGTCGTGTCCCTTCTCTCTATCTTTATGTGGGTCCCAGGGGTCACATGGCAGGCACTTTAACCCCTGGGCCTTCACCAGCCCCAGTGACTTCTTTGTGGGTCTGACCCTCCAGGACCCCTCCCCATCTGTGTTAACTGACCGTGCCTGTAATAGACCCTGGGGGTGCTCGCATCCGCAGGCTCCCATCCTCGATCAGATGGACCAGTTACTTCCAAGTCAGGTGGAGCGGCAGGACAGGAACAGATGTCTTAGTCAACCACTCCTCATGGCCAAAGGAAGAAGGGGGGCAGGGACACAGACCCTCCAGTCCCCTTCAGAGACTGAAACCTACATCTCACTAGGACAGGCCTCTAAACGTTTTCACCGACTCCCTCCCATTAGCACCGTGGACTGGGGGCATTCCAGATCCCAGCTGGAATGCCATCCCTTTTTCCCAGGTGCCTTCCTCTGGAGAATCCATCTACAGCGGTCTCACTGAGCTCCCTGGAGTCTCCTCCACTTACCCCTTCTCCCTTTTCTTGGTTCTTCC